GGAGTCCTAACTCGGAGCTAAGACTCCAGATAAGCTCGAGTGTTCTCAAGCCGCTTCTGATGGGCGCATGGATGGGGTAACCCCCACGCCCATTGAAGCATCGGCCTCGGCCTTCTTGACCCGGTTCAGATGGCAGGTGTTTTGGAAAGAGTGGATGGAATCCGGGAGGAGTTGAGGGCAGGTGAACATGGTGTGGAAGGGACATGTACTATTGCAAGCTTAAGCTGTACCGCACAGACTTGGTGTGTACTGCCGTTTTGCGCAGAAAGATGTGACGAGAAACATGCACTCCCCTCCTGTACCTCTCTCCATGGCCCTTGAAGAGCCCTTGATGAATCAAAGCGGAATCTTGGGCACAGGCGCTGCTGGCAAGTTACTTAACAAACGCTGAACCCTGAAGATAAGTTTGGGGGAATGTGTGCTGAGCTGAGGGTCCATGCAGGGTTAAAGCTGCAACTCGTCATCTCCTTGTACCCCTACGTTGGGAGCGTAATCAACCCAAACCGAGCAAGGATTGGGGAGGGATAGCCGTGAAGCAGGACTGCGAGTAATAGTAAGGCAGCAGTTGCCGAACTGGCTTGAGGTGCCCTTCAACTTGCCAGCGATCTGTGTATAAAGAGGCCCAACCTTGCCCGCTCCAGCCCTTGAGGGCAAAAAGAAATAAGTCTGTATCGCCAGAGCACGAGAATGCTGCATCGCGGTGTGTTGATAGAGGGTTTACGTTCAGGTATGGTGCAATGATTGATGGGAAGGGTCACTTTCTCTCTGCCAAGTACACTCGCACAGTCAGGATGATGATGACTCTCATTCATGGCCACACAACGTTGATCCAGCTTTCTGGAATGCCGTGCTCTGTGTAGGCAGGGCAAACTCGCAAACTACACAAGTCCCTTGTGCTTCACGCACATCTTAGGAGTCAACATTTTTTACAGGAGGGCTTCGGGTCGAGCGGCTTGCAACGCTTTCGTTGAGATGCGAAGGATGTAGGTTTACTCGCACGACCCGTGCTGCCCAGGCACACTCCGAGATTCCCATCTTGGAATTGGGCTTGTGGCTTAGCTCCCAAGACGGGATCCCAAAGCAGTGACCGTGGTCGGCTTCTGGCGGCGGAGCTTCTACGGCAAATCTCTCGACCTGGCACCTCAACCCAAAATCCTCTAGCAGACTACCGTCCTCAATACCCACGAAGCTCCAGCTCGGACATGAAGCGAGTGACCCAAGATCTTCTCTTGTGAGTTTTTGCGTTGGGTTTATTTGAAATTTATTTGGGTTTAGGATTTAGCTTGGATCCCCTCGGCCACTGACTGTACGAGCCATGATGATCAGGGCTGCAACCTCGGGCACATGTTGGCTGAGGCAGTTAAGCCCCGAGGCCATTTCGCGGCTGAGTTTGGTGGGGCCAGTTGAGGGCACAAGGATGCAAGTTTGCAAGTTGGGAGCCATCACAGCAGGGGCTTGGGCCCTGATGTTCCTAAGCCGAACCCCCCCTCAGGTTAACACCTTAGCCGCTGACAGGGAGCTATCCTCGACCCAGGTGCCGAAGACAACTGCCCTTGCTAAGGGCTGGCAAGTTCCGCGGCAAAGCCCAAGTTGTTGGGCTTCGTGGTTTACAGCATGTAATTACCCCCCTCCCCCCCGGTAAGCGAGATGTTATCCTGGCGAGGTGCGCGTGTTTTTGGTGCTTGCGACAAGTAGCCTCTGGGCAAGCACAGCCCAGTCCTTGCACCTGCCCTTGTAGAATAAGACCTTGCGAGCCGGCCTGCGAGACCAACCTGGCCGAAGCCTGCTTGCGCATAATAGGTGTATCCTCCGGCTGCTAGGGTAAAAAAAACCGCTGTGGCCTTCAGACTCCTGAGTGCATGCAACGCATGGCGGGACATTGGTGACTTTAGCATGCGGCGGTTTTGAAGGAGATAGCAGGCAATGTCGCCTTGAAGCTTTGCCTTGTCCATGCCTGCCTCATCCTATTCAAGATGCAAGAGCATGTTGCAGATACCATTCGTAACCCAGAATGAACTGCCCTTTCTTGCTTCGTGGAGTTGGTATGGAAACCTACGCCCCCCAACGGATCAAGGGAATGAAAAGATAAGGCTTGAGTAAGGCTGCTATACTGGGCATCCAAGGGCACAATAGGGTGACGCTAGGATGCTGGAAATGAAAAAAAATCCGTCGCTCTCATCCTCCCCCTGGGAAAAACTTGGCGTCAGGCGGCAGGGAGTGGAAGCTTCCTGTGTGTGCGCAGTCTGGCGCGTTTGGGGTTCAGGGGGTTTAGGGTTCAGGGTTTAGGGCCTAATTAGAGTTTAGGGTTCTACTAGGGAAATCAGCGACTCACCACTGGCTCGCCAAGACACCCCTGGCCCTGTCCCCAAAAGCTGCAACCCTACTCACCCTGAATCATGCAGACACACAAAACCCTGCGAAGCCCAAAGGCACCTCAATGACAGAGATGGCTGAGGGCTCGGCCCACTCAAATTTTGAAATGCCCCTCATGGAGAAAGTGAGACCTGCTGTCTCTGGCCTCTGCGCACGATTGCACTTCAAAGGCTCCCTTTTTTGGGGGCACCCCGTGAAGCCGGTTTTTTAGGGTTAAGTGGAACTTGAAGAGCCTATTATGGCAAAGGCTGATGCACCACAAACCACCCCTTGCGCCATCTTGCGCCCCAACACAAATCTCCTGCTGGATTTGGAGGGATGCACAGGCCTAGTCCAGGCATGTTGCAGTATCTTGGGGGCACATGCAGGGCAATTGCCTCTAGCGAAATGGCCTGAATTGAGAAAGCCACCAGGGTTCCGGCTTGCGTAGGAGGAAGCTGCCCGTTTCGGTTTAGGTCTTCGTATAGGGCTCAGGCGACTGTATAAGGGGTAGCGATGGTTATTGAGCAAGTCTCAGTTCAGATCCCTGGGAAATTTCGTGCCGTAATCCTGCTGCTTGATCGTGCAATGTGTCGGGCCTTCATTTCGTAACTTTTGCATCTCAAGGTTGCGGCCAAGCAGCCAAGGACAAAGAAGGACGGCATCCTGCACTTGCCTAACGGAAACCCTCACCTTCAGTCTTCAACAGTAAAACGGCGGAGCCCCCTTTGAGCCCAACCGAACCCGCACCAAAACCCAGCCCCAGACTCCCAAGCCCGACTTGAATCCCGGGCCCTTCACAACAGGGCCAAGCCGACCCGAACCCACCCCAGACCCCAGCCCCAGATTCTTCAACCCGACTTGAATCCCAGGCTCAACACAGGGTCAAGCCCTACCCCCAAACCAAACCCGATTTGAACCCCTTCAACAACCGACCCAACAACAGGGACTATAGCATTAGAACTAAACGACATCAACGGAATTACATTCAACAGAGCACTCGTCACCAATCTTACGTTTACTAGTATTGGTGATATAGTTGGCGAAGCAGATGTCATTAGTTGGAGTAAGTTTAAGTTACAGAACAGCGGAAAAATGGGAAGTCGCAGATACACAGTACAAGATGTATGTAAGAAACGGTGATAGTTTAGGTGAATTGAATGTAACAATAGGTCTACTCGTAGAAAGTAGCACGACAGAAATTCAATCAGCCTCAATGCTGCTTTGATGGCTGAGGTTGGGGATTTCGGTGCGGGTTCCATCTCATGCTTCTCAGATAAAAGGAGTCTCTGGCCTCAGCAACATCCGGAAGTTTGTGCAGCGGGGGCCATGAAGGTTTACGGTAGTCTTGTCGGTCCCACCATTGAACCACTCCCAAGAGGGAGAGATCATCTATGTGTCTTCGGTGCTATATCGAATATACCGATGCAACAGAGTCCCAGAATTCAGCGGCGACCTCGCGAACATTTACGGGGGGGTTGCAGCTGGAAGGAAGGCACTGGGGTTGCCGGCCACTCTCTGGACCGCCGATGAGGCCGTAATGGTCTCACCAGCCCGGAGGCTTTCAGGGCTATTACCTGGCACAGGACGCAGCGCGTGTGGGAAGGTGGGGAACGTGGGGGAACATGGGGGAACGATGGGGAACGTGCCATCCTGCAGCATAGGGGCCAAGGTGGCGTGGTGTTCTGAGTTGGTGGAAGGTACAAGGATCTGGCATGCGGATTTGAGCTTGAGAACCCTCGGGGGCTCTAAGGCTGTCAGCTCTCTTGGCCCGCCAGGGAAGAGGTCGTCTGTGGAACACCCCCCCCCTCTGCGAGAGAACTTGCAAACAGGCAATACTGTAGGCTGTGTTCTCGCTTCTTTTGAGTGAGAGTATGACAGGGTTCACCTCAACCTCAATCCACATCCTGCTGTTTGCAATTTGGCATTGCAGCCTCGAATCACCTAAAGCCATCAAGCATGAGGTCTAGCATAGCAGACTTGGCCCCCAGGCGGCAGGGAGTGGTGATTCCTTGGAAGGGGGGTGCTTTCTTGATCATCCCAGCTGCTAGGCGAGCGCTACACTGGGGTTTGGCGTTCAGAGTTTGCGCCTGCGTAGCGTGTCGGTCATAGTTCAGGTGAATGTCGCAGTCGGCAGGCTTGAGACTTGGAAGATTTCTGCCACATGCAGGGTTGGGGTAATCAAGCACCTCCGGGTCCGGGACGCAAATGGAACCTATTGTCAACAGCAGCCTACATCGATCCCGAGCCTGTTAACACGACACACGTGATCCACGCCGAGAAACACGAAGCCTGGACACTTGGCACAGTTCTCTCCTACCCATCAGTCCAGAATCTTTCAGCCAAATCTTCAGAAATCCGAAGCAATAAGAAGCCTACACCCAAATTAAACCATGTCCTTTCAACAGGGTTACAAGCTCCAGAAAGTGAGCCTGCAAAGCTTCCAGCCACCCTTTGGGTTTTCATCTGTTAAAGCACAGGTGCTTCAGTGCAGGGTACCTTATGTTATGCGGGTTCTGAAAAAGGATGTCTATGAGAGCACTCAGGACGCTAGGATTTGAGGAGAGAACCGCTAGAGTAGAGGGTAAACCAGCCACCTGAAGATGTCCAGCAGCTCAGGGCTCGGCAAGCGTCCCTGTTCGTCACAGCTACATCGAGTATGTGAATTTAGCGACAATGGCCGGCTTTGGCCTGCAGGGCAAAGAGCTCTTCAAGCGATTTTTTCACATATGTTTATGGTTCATATACCCTACTTGGGATTACAGTAGTATAGGGTACAGGATCCCTAACTTTAGGGTTCATTTGGCCCGGCAGGGGCGAAGCTGGCCGAAGCTCTGAACTTGCAACCCAAGCCTTTGGGTGCCATGCGTAACCTTGACACCCAAGACTCGGGTCACCGGAGACCGTCTTCAGTCTCACTGGATTTTTCCAGCGCCCGGTAGAGCACTAGACAGCACAGAAACCGCGAAACTAGGCGAGCAATAGCCAGCACTCAACAGATGAAACCACATGCAGGAAGAGGAGACACGGTCGGTCCTCAGGTAAACCACACCCGGCTGAGGCCCCCAGCTGTGAGCACGATGGGGAATGCTGAGCCTCTTGGCCTTACAGCAATTTAGGGTGGTTTAGAACTCAGGGCTTACTGGGGGCTCCGAACAAAAAATTCAAAAACAGGAAACAACAAACAAGCAAAAGAAACCAGAGCGCGGCAGTGCGGATCCTAACCACCCGAGTGTGCCGGAAGCTGCAGATATATCGCCTCTGATACCTGGCCTGAAATCCAAAAGGCCCACAGAGAATGCGGTTTAGGGCTTCGTGAAGCAGGCCAAGCACCCCCCATAGCCCTGCCTAGCCCGAACTGGACCCTACATTCGGACGCTCTCAAGCCCTACATGTAGGAACTGTAGTGTAGTACTCTGAACAGACTGTTTCAGATACATGTATGTGTGGGGTCAGAACTTCAGAGGCCTTCAACTACTCAACTTCCCTTCTCATGTCAGATTCTCCCAAGGATCTCAGTCAGGTGGCTGGAGCCATCTCCTTCGAGGTCGTAAGACCCGGAACTCGCGTCCTGCTTCTGCTGTTGTTGGTTGGGGTTTGGGGGCTTTGCAAGAACCGCTTTGAACCCAGGGGAGGGAGGGAGAGAGAGAGAGAGATAGAGATAGGAGAGGGAGCGAGCACCGAGCGAGGGAGAGAGGAGGAACAAGGAAACGGAGAGGGAGAGAGATGCAGACTTCGTGTGGGGTGTAACGTGGAGACTTCCCTCGGTCGTAGGCCTGGTGTTTGATGTGAGGTTGGGCTCCGGCCACGACTACAGCAGGAACGCTTTGCACATCTGCGCAAGCACGTAAATTGTACTGTTGCCAGGCCTCCATAGCGCTACCAGGCCCAACAGCTCGAACCCCCGTCCTCTTGTTTTCCTTTGCTCTCAGGTCCACTGCCACCACTTCCGCTGGAGGATGACCTGGCGGGGAGCTTGGTACTTGCGCTACTGGAGCCAGGGGGCCAGAAGCCAAAGGGCAGCCAGCTCTCGCTTTGGCTAAAGCCCCAACCCTGAACCCTTAGCTGGCCTAATCACCTCCCCCTAAACAATGCAAAGGTTTCCCCCCCCATACCCGAAAATTTTAAATCTCAGCCCCAAGGCCTGCTGAGTATTGGGCTGGGCTTCTCAAGATCTGTCCGCCAAGACGCTGCGCCGCCGGAAACAAAAAGAAGACGAAAGATAATGCTAAACATCATTGTTTTTTGGTAGTATGATTGGCTTTATACTCTTGATCATTTTTGATTAGTAGTTTTGCTTATTCTTGTTTATTGACAGTACTCCTGTTTATTTTTGCTGTTTGCTATTCTTGTTGGTATAGGAAATTCTCACTATGTCTGATGATTCTTTAATAATAACATCTGATTAGTACTCTGTGTTACTTTTTATGTATTCTTAATGCTGAATATTAATCTCCTTGTCATGAATAAAAGAAGTTTGTGGGATTTCCCATGAAACCCTGAACCCCCGAAGACATCAGACCGCAAGTAGGTCCCCAACACCCCAAAGGATCCCATGGCGGGTTTAGGGCTTAGGGTCTGCTGCTTCCTTGTTGGGGTAATATTACAAATAGTCATGTTTATTCCTTCTTGGGAATGTAAGATGACAAAAGTGTAAAAGTATAACCATCAAGGACCCAAGTTCGGGCTTAGGCAGGCAAGACCTTGGGCAAGATCCTTGTGGATCCGATGGTGCCGGTGAGGTGGATGTTTCCGGATCTTCTGGGCAGGGAGGAATCGGCTTCTCAGATGCGAGCTTTAGGGGTTTAGGGACTTTTGTGGGTTTGGCGGGGGGGAAAGGGGGGGGGGGGGAATTTGGAGTTGGGGAGAGGGGCTGTAGGTTTTTGAAAGACACTCTGCCACATCGCAAGCTTGCAATCGACACGGCCTCAGCAGACAGCCCCAAAGGGCTTCCCACAAACCCGCAACCCTGAACCCCACTTCTCCCGTTCAGGAACCTGGAACCTCACATGGCCACGCGCGCGAAGCACTCGGCCCTAACCCGGGCTTCCACACTTCAGCCTGACTTCTGCTAGCTCCACCGGGGACCCGACGCTTCATTCCTCCAGAGCGCGCCTGTCACTGCACAAGGCCCTCTCATCCCTGAACCGCAAGCCCCCCGCTGCTAGGAATCTCAACCTCCTGAAGTCCTGGGATCCATTCAGGATGTCTTCTGTCACAAAAGCCCTAAGCCATGTTGGCCCAGCAACGCACTTAGGGTTCAGCTCTCAGCGCCCCCCCCTTGTGCCTTGGGGGCATTGGGTCGAAACGTCTGAAGTTTGATCACTTGACCAGCGACGAGCTGCTCCTGCTGATGGGATTGGGTTTTGGGGGCTGAGGTGTGAGTTTAGAGCCAAGTGACTCCTGAATCCCTCTTTGCTCTCCTCAGGACCGTAGGGGGTCTGAAAACCTCGAAAAAACACGCAGGCATCCCACCCTTAAGTAGATTTTTTTCAGATTGGGCAATGCTTCGGCTTGGGTTTGGGGCTCAGGGCTTCGGGTTGAGGATTCAAGGCAACCTAGCCAACTTCAGGGCCATCTCGCCGACTACAAGCCTTCTTCAACCCTGGGGGTTTTGGGAGCTGCAACGTGGAGTTTGGGGGTGAAAGGGTTAGGGTTCAGGGCTTGACTTTACTGGAATTCGGGTTCATTCATGGTTGCGGGTTTGGGGCTTTGGTCCTTCTTCCCCCAAAGGGGCGAGGCTGGGTCTTAAACACCCTCAAAACGGCACTACAGGGTCTCTCACTTGGTGTTTGTTGTATTTTCATATGCATATGCATATGCATATGCATCTACATATACATATACATATACATATACATATACATATACATGTACATGTACATATACATATACATATGTGTATATATATATATATACATATGTATATCTACGAGAACAAGGGGGCATGTGTGCGGAAACTTTGGTCCACACACTTCAAGATGATGCTTACGAGAAATCATTACATTGCATGGCAAGAGCTGTAGTACAGCAGCCTGCGAGCATCGTGAGAAACATTTATATCACACCATGGAGGGTGAGAGGGACAGAGATGGTCAAGGTCAGTCAGCAGGGCAACTTGAAGAACTCTGAGATACTCAGCTCAGCAGGTGGAGCAACAACAAGAACGGCTGAAAGACCCAAAGAACTTGCTGAAAGAGCACCTAAGTCCCGAAGTCCCGAAATCCGTAGGTTCGCGACCACGCCTCGCCCAGAGCCATGATCTCTTTCACAACTGCAGAAGTTTCCATGACCTGAATTCGACTGTTCTTGGATCCCCCTTAAAAGCAATCACCTTCATTGCCCCACATATTCTTTTGCATAGTATTTATCGATTATTCGTCACATGTATTTCTATTTAGTGTATCAATATTGTACTTTGATTTTGTTTATTTACGTACTTATGCTACATTCTACTCGACGATAATATAGTATCATATGAAGAGTAGTCCTACATACATATTAAATATATATATATATAGATAGATATAGACAGATAGGTAAACACAACCCTTCAATATCTGTCTGGCGAACGCGGCAGTTCGGAACCCAACGGCACCCAAGACCGGCCAAGCAAACCGTAGTCGCTAAAGCGTTCAACAAACTTAGCTTGCCCAGGAACCTAGCTTTAGGATTAGGAGTTTAAGGGATTTCAACCCAACAAAAGGGTAGCAAACAAGGGCACTACCGGGCATCCTAGAAAGTTGGGGTCGTGCAGCAAATTGGACATGCGGAACTTCAGGCGGCACAAGCTTGCCCAAGCCTGCGTTGTCACTGTCCTTTCGGGCCAATGAGGGACCCTGACACCGAACCTCTCTGCCCAGAAGACCAACGCAAACAACAAAATACTAAGCGCACGTTTTTGGACACTGATGACAGTCGGGTTCGGGCCACCTCTTTGCGGTCTTCACTTTACACAGACACAGCTGAAGGTATCCGCTGTCGTGACGACAAAGGTGCTCGCAACTGGTCACAAGCAGATAGCGTGCTCAATATTCAATCTGATGATTCCACTGCTATTACATATACTAACCCAAAAACAGGCTGGATCCATCTACAGGCTGTTAGGCCAGGCAAACAAAGGATAATTGTTACATGGGGCCAAACAATCCTGTGTAGCTCTACCAGGTTGTGATCTTATAACGTGATGCAAAATGCAAGCCAAAACCATTGAACAAGTGTACAGAATTTGCTAGAAGTCGGAAGCCACTCACATCCCACATCCAAGGCAACAGACGCCAGCTGAGGCCCGGGCCACGATTGCAAGGCTCCCCGGGCGAAGCTTCCCCCTCAGCTCTTAGGGCTTCAAAAACTGATGCAACTGACCCTGAAACGGCAACAAAACAGCACCTTGACAAGCCCGCTTGTCCAAGTCCGCTCGTGTCCGCCCTCCCTGACCAGGTAGCCAGCTGGTGGGGGAATGGTCGGCTATTGCGCGCCTCAGATTGCGTGGGCATAAGAATCAGCACGAACGGAATGACATACTTGCCAGAAACATTGAAGCCCACCCCCAACCAAAATCCCCAACCAAAATCCTTCTGGAATGCAGCGATATAGGCTAAGACTCCTGTGGCACAACATGGCACAGCTTGCGCACTGCGCGCTACCACCTCTAGTGTCGTTCATGTGCTCATGCTCACCTCCTGAACTGTGCAAGAAACACGAAAATATGTAAGCACCTTAATTTAAATGGCTGTTCTTATAGTACTATACGGGCCATGTTGCTTGGCGTGCTAGGGATTCGCTGTATGTGCAATCTGCCGAATTCCAGTGCCTTGGCGTTTGCCACCAGAACTTTTTCAACAACGCCGTACTTCGAAAAGTGCAGCCACAACTCCTGTGCGATTTAGGGTTGCCGGTTTCAGGTTCAGGAAATACACTCCAAAGCTCAGCAGGAACCGCAAAAGATCCAAGATTGAGGGCTTTCGTTGTTGAGTGAGAAATCAGAAAGTGCAAGTGCAGCAAGATAAGCTGCTAACACGGATTCGGACACTGCGCCATACACCCCAGATCTTAAACTCTCGAACTTCACGAACTGCTCCAGTCCGTGATTCCTCCTTCAACGACGGTTACCCAGGAACCTTAGATCAAAAGGCTCCCCCTTTGTTTGCACAATGGGGGCTTCTGATGGACCCCATCCCCAAAAGATGGGAAGAAGGGTACTGCCGCGCATCTGTGTGACGAATTTAAACCCAAAACTTGTGGCCGTCCTCAGGAATCTCGACACTCAGTTAGGGTTTTCGGGGTTTGGGGTTTCGGGAGTGTAAGTGGCATAAGGGCGCTCATTGTTCTTACTAGCATGTTTTTTTTTTCAAGGGGGCAGGGTGTAGGGGGAGGAGGAGGGAGGGCAGGGAGGAGGGGAGGGGGGGTGAGGAAAAGAGGTGGGAGGGAGCGGAGTGTAGGGAGGGGAGGGGGGATGTATGGAGGGGTGGGGAGGGGGAGGGCACAGGCAAGAAGTCAGGGACGCGGATGAAGGCCAGCAAACAAGGAATGGGCCGTGGAACCTACAAGAAGCCTGGGCACACTGCTAACCCTTCGCAAGATACTCCTGTTCAACTCCAAGGTCGAAACCCAAACCCGAGAAACCCAGTTAACCCCCAAGAAGTGGAAAATGGCGAATTCGCTCACCACTGCTCCTCCTGAGCTCTGAAGCCAAGCTTGTTGATGCGGCGGGCCAGGAAGATCCGATTCGGATCCTGCAGGGGTTTGTCTTCTCATATTATGAACATGGGGACTTCGGAGTGAGAATTGCATGATGCACCAGGTTGGCCTGTTCAACCTCTTAAACTCAAGCTCCCAATAAAATATCACAACCTATCTCAAGGGCCTGCCGAATGCTCAAGAAGCAGGAGCGGATTGGGGATTGGGACTTCGGCTGCTCAGAGATACGGTTTGGAAAGGGTGTAAGGGTTAGGGCGGAGGGGGAGAGGGGGGGGGGGGGGGGGGAGGGCCCCAGCCAATCAAACACCTCGAGCAATGTACTTTTCTAGCGGGGTCAACGTCATCCAGCATCCATTTCCTGAAAGCTGTTGAGACAAATTGGAACCACTGCTATACTTGGCTGGCGGCCGCCGCAGGCAACAGGGGCCAGATCTGCGGTGTGCACCCCCAAGACAGAGAACCAGCGGGGCTCGGAGTACAGACTCGACGACTTTTTTTGTGAGAATGCGCCGTGCGCCACGCGCCGCGTGCTGGACTTTGCTGGACTTTGCTGGGCTCGGTGGCCCCCTCCAACGGTGTCTTTTGCCCTGGTCGAGAGCTGGATCGACAGTGGCTTCGTCCTTCAATGTGTTGCTGAGATTGACATGTTCTCATGGCGTTCGGACAACCGCACGACGGAGTTCGTGCGAAATGTCGGTGATGCAGAAGGCCCTTGAAAGACCTGCACGCTTTCAAGGTCACAATCATATACCCTCCAGATTTGCAGATGCAGGCGCAGCGTTCAGACGCCCAAGTCGAGCACCATCCTGATCGGGCCAAGATGTCAGTTCAGAACCCTGCATTGTCAGCTCGTGGCAAAAAGTGCTTAACGACAACGTTCGGCACCCGGCTTGTCCTCGTGGCTTCCTCTTCCACCCTCTCAGAGGAGTGCCAAGCAAGTACTTTTCCGTTCCGAGCTCAGGGCAGACCGGGCAGACGGCCCATGTGTGGCTGCCTTCGTGTCTTGCTGCGGAAAAGCCTACATCACCAAGCCTGCCGCTCCTGCAGAACTAGTGAAAGTGGATCGCTTGCAAGGCTACCCAAGGGCACTGGGTCATCCACCACAGACCCCGCCCAAGTGACTTCACAAATATTTCTGTCGATTGTTTCCGGGACATAGCGTTCCAGCAGGGTGCCCACCGTGATGTCTGCAGGCAACCGCAGCGTCGTGGGAAGTGCACGCGGTCGACGAGTCCTAGTGTTCATCAGCTGTGCCAATGCTAACTTGGCAGCATCTTGCTCGGCATCTCTCTTTCGAGCAAAAGGACTGCTCACAAAACTGCCGACAGCCCAGCCTTCAACATCGAGAACCAGCGTGACTAGAAATGCGCCATCTTGATAGTTGGAAAGCCATTCCACCTCCTCTTCCTCCAATGGCCGACGTATCTCCTTGGTAAGAAACTCGAGAAGCGCACCTTTCGCATTGGATGAGTTCCTCACAACTCCCGGGTCGACAGCAGAGCACTCACTCGCTTCCCCTGGAGAATCCGCAACAAGACCATTCTGCGACAGTTCCACGTTAATCCAACATCTCTTTCGTTGCAAGGATCTTTCGCCTTGCGTGATGCGAATGTTGTCGCCCTGAGCCTCCAGATATTCCAATGCTTTCACTGCTGCCGACTGCTTCGCCCCCTGCTTCAAGCGAGAAGGTTCACCCACAAACTCCACGGGGGGATCCAGTGATTGCAAGCAAGCGATGGCGATGAAGTTCCCCATGTTACCAGGCCGTGGCTTGTAGCGAAAACACAGGTCAGCCTTCACCGGATCACGCCCAAGCAGCTTTGCATATCTCTGGCTGAGCTCACCGACGGAATCACCGACAGGTACCACATCTCGATCTTCGCCGAGCTCATCATTTCCAGCAGGATCATCTATTCCGAGCCCTTCGTGCTTTGCAGCATTCGCCACCCTGTTCAACTCTTCTAGCCTCAAGATCTCTTCCTTGTCCAGAAGCTGGTTCCTCTGGGCGTGCAGTATTGCCCCTGACAGCTGCTCGAAATTCTGCTTGAACTTTTTATTGAGGACATAGAGCTCCATGATCTGTTGCTTCACCACATTAAGTCGGTCATCCAGGTCGCCCGGGATGTGAAAACTCTCGGCCATGGCTAAAGAGCAGCCGCAACAAGTATAATTAGGTGGTGCACGTACCCCCAAAACGACAATCCTTGTTGTAGGAGCCCCTGCATGTGCCGATGGCCTGAAGGGTTCCTAAATGTTCCTTAAGAGGTAAGGAAGAGAAGTAAGCCACCAGTCAGGGTGCTTCCTTCCAACTGTTGAGGTCATTCAGGGTCTGCGAACACAATTCGATGTCACATGAAGACGAAACTGCGGTTGAAAGCCGCCAGCAACGCACAAGGCCCAGGGAGAGCACATCCAGTTGCCCAAAAGTCATACAAACCGATCAGGCCCCCCCAAGAATCAGGCTGACTCAAAATAGGACAGCAGGCAGTGTTATCGAACTCAGCTCAGACTTCAAGCATCCCACCGAAACCGCCCGAAACTCCAACACCCAAACGGGGACCCTTCCTTCAATCACCAAACCCAAAGCCCTCAAGCATTGGGCCCACGAGCGACCCTCGCGCGCCTCGGACCGCAAGTCGTTGAAGTAGCCCCTTATGGCTTGGAGCTTCGAGGCACCGAGGGGTTGAAGGGTTTTGGGGCTTTTCGGGTCGGTTTGGTGGGTTTCGGGCTTCAGGGGATTTGGGGCTTTAGGAAGCCAAGTGCAGGAGGTGGTTGTTCAAATGATGCTCCGTAGAACCCAACTTGCTTCGGTGGCCTCATCCTGCTTCCTTTAGAAACCAATGCCCGACAACCCAGTGCGGCCTCACAACTCAATGAATTGGGCTTCTAAATCTACATCCAACGTTCATCGCAAAAGCATGCAGAACCATCTTGCTCGAAGGCAGCTTTTCTTGCCGATATGAGCGTCACCGCGCACAAGTTGCGTGAATGGCCGCCCACAGGCTTAAGTGAGAAGCGCTTCTCAAGCTATGTACACTGAGGGCTGCTGGACCAGTCGGAGGCAAAGTGCAGACCGCGGCAATACCATGATCTCTAACCCCCCAAAGCTGTCATAAGCCTCACGGTATGTACAGCACCTTGTTGCGGCCCTCAAAATCCAGGAGCGCCTCCTGGGGAGGGTCTGGCAGGGTGCGTGGAGGCAGCGAGGTGTTCTGGGTTGCGGTTAACCCAAAACCCTCAAACACCGTAAACCCCAAACCAACCTCTCCAAGCTCTCTGAGAAGTGACTTAGACTTCCTGACTTTCCATACGCAGACAAGCCACTTTAATACGAGGATCTTTGGCACGAAGGTAAGCGCAGAACTGGTTCAGCGTTCGCACTGGCACGCCTGCGACCCGTGAGCTGGGCTTGGCTTCGGCTTGTAGTCTCCACATTCATGTTGCAGCAAACCAGCGCGGATTTGCCAAAGCACATCTGCCTCACATTACGTTCACCCTGGCCCCAGCTCCGAAGCTCAGCTGACACTGAAAGCAGTGCTGCAAGCAGTTGGGATCTGCTTGGTAGAGAGTGCAGGCCCACCCCGCTGGAGAAAAGGGTCGCGCGCAGCCATTTGTAGACTTCTGGCTTCGGGTTTCTCGGAGGTTCAGGATTGTCAGTTGCAGCTTAGAGCCCTACCCTGGCGCCTGGCGCCAGCTCCCGGTCAGGAAACTTCTCCGCGAAGACACAGCAGGGAACCTCAAGCTTTAGGGCTTCTGGGTTTTAGAGTTTCTGGGTTTCGGGGAGGGGGTCTTGAAGGCCACGGCCCCCGGGTCTCAAGGGGAGCTGCCTGGGGAGGCGGGGTTTGTGGAGTTTAGGGTTTTAGGGGTTCTGGGTTTGAGGAGGAGGTTGGGCGGACCCCACACCCTAAACCCAAACCCGCACGACTTGAAGCCTTGTCGTCATCCCACCCTTGACCTCCAACCGCGACAGCCCAACATGGAGGAATTGGTATACTTAGGCAGAAGTTCTTGTGGGGACCCAAGGCAACCCTAAACCCTTGCACTACAAACAAGCCTTCATGCCCTATCCGTAGTTACCCGAATATTCCTACATATCCCTAATATCCCGAATTGAACTATTTAGTTCTCGCAATATTCCTAAATATGCCTAATTGCCCTAGTTACCCAAATACTCCTAAGTATCCCGAATCACCCCAATAGCCCACTATCCCTAAGCATCAACCCGAATTGCCCTAATAATCTCCCTCATACCCCTAACATCCCTAAATATCCCTAAACCCTAAATTCCTAAATCCGAACTCCTAAACCCTTTACCCTCGAATATCCTTCGTTACCCGTAGGTCCTTGATCAGCTCATCAAGCTCCTCAACGATTCTTGACCCCAAGATCATTCCAGTGAGTATCCCTCTAAATCCCTATGCTGCGACCTGGCCGCCACCGCAAAGCGGCGCCCGGCCCCGAGGGCCAAGTCCACGATGGCCTCTGTGGCCTCTTGGGGTTTAGGGTTTAGGGTTTAGGGTCTAGGGTTTAGGGTTTAGTAATTTAGGGTTTAGGGTTTGGGGTTTAGGGTTTAGGGTTTAGGGTTTAGGGTTTAGGGTTTAGGGTTTAGGGTTTAGGGTTTAGGGTTTAGGGTTTAGGGTTTAGGGTTTAGGGTTTAGGGTTTAGGGTTTAGGGTTTAGGGTTTAGGGTTTAGTTTAGGGTTTGGACAACTGACCATATGTACTTCTCTGCATGGCCGTATGTACTTCTCTGCATAACATCTGCAGCATACTCGTACACACACATCCACATATACACATACATGCATGCATACATGCATGCATACATGTGTGCTTCGTTTCCAGTCTTCATCTGCCCATCAACTTTGTCTACGTGGCTTATGGCCTTTTACCTGTAAAAACAAGTACATGTGAGCACGCGGCGAAACCTAGAGGCCACGACTGGGACATTGCATTGAGGGTATCGCTGTTGGGATGAGGTAATTCTCGCCTGCTGAATCAAAATGATGATCAGGGGTATCGCTTTTAGAGGCACGGGGTTTGGCCAGTCGCTCATATGAACCCTGAAGCTATCTGGCTGCAAGTGAATATCAAGCTAAGCAATCGCAGCCTAACGTTCGCAAACCCGGGCCAGGCTGAAAGGCCCTTGGCACCCCCGACATCCTCGTCCGGATGAAGGCCCACAACGAGGGAAGCAGTGTCCAACCTAAGTGTCAAGCCGCCGTTTTGGTGGTTTGGGGTTCAGGGAGTCCTGTCAAACTCCAGGACACCTTTCAGAAACCGTCCAAGCCGTACAGGCCCTGCACCCTCTGGCCACCACAGCCATAAAGGCCACACCTCCGGGACGCCAAGGCCCCAGGCTTTCCAATGTTGAATGGCTTGGGGTATTTTAGGGTGCCTCCCGGACTGCCCTCTCTTCTAACTTGGTAGCCCAGCAACCGTATTCTACTAAGGGTACCCGTTTTGGGGTTTGTTCCTTTATAAGGGAACCTAGAACCAAGTCAAGAGAAGGGCGAGAGCGCCACTGGGCTACCAAAGGTATGTAAAGTATTGAAATTCTGAAAGGGGGTCCGATCCCCCCCCCCGCACAAACCCGAGCCACCCCTTCCGCCGAGGTGCAGCCCGGCGTGGCTCCCAGAACCAGGGCCGAAGAGGGCAGCCTTGCCGAAGTTTGAGGGGTTGATAGAGATTCCGGGCTCTTTTGGTAACTATGCTCCTTTTGCTATTCTTTGGTGTGGGATCCCCTCCTCCCCTCGCCCAGCACCAGTAAGGCTTAGGCTTCAAGGTTTGGTGTGTTGGGTTCTGCCTCGGTGTTTAGCGGTTGCCGATCGGCCGGCGCGGAGCACTATTGGTACTTTTGAGCCCGTTTGGGTGATCCACAAGTTGAGGGTCTGGCTGCGGAAAACGGCGGAAACAGCTACAGGGTGCTCGTTCTGCTGTGCCATGGTCACACCGTGAGGCCACAAGGTGGACTCGGCAGGACTGAGGCCTCGAAGCTCACAGGCAGGTGCGTGAAGGCTTCTTCGCGCCCTGCGGGTGGGATTCACCAACAAAACAACGTGCAGCTTTTGTTCAGTTGCTCGTGTTTACACCCGTAGAGCATGCGAACGCCACTGCAGTTGCATGCCGATTCACGGTTCCAAAAAACACTTTATGGACTGGATTCCGAACTTGAGGCGGTGCGGAACGTGTCTGTGAAACCAGCCTACCCCAACCATCCTGGTCGCACCTCGCTTCCGCAAAGCACGCCTTTGCCAGCTCTTCAAGGCGCCACCTACAAAGGAGCGCACATGAGTCGACAGTCACCGAAATCGCGACTCCATCGTTCGAATTTGGGGGGGGGGGGGGCGGCCCTGAACCCCAAAACCCCAAAACCCCCAAAACCCCCCAAACCCCCAAAACCCCCAAACCCGCAAAACCCCCAAAACCTCCAAAACACCCAAACCCCCAAAACCCCCAAAATCCCCAAAGCCTCCAAAACAACTCCCCAAAACCCCAAGAAACGCCCAACCCCCCCCCCCCCCCCCAAAAAAAAAAAAAAAAAACAACCCAAAAAAACCCGAAAAAAAAAAACCCAAAACCCCCCCAAAACCCCCCCAAAACCCCCCCCAAAACCCCAAAAACGTAAACAACCAACCAAAGGCCTCGCCGCAGCGCTGGGTCGACGAGGGTTGATGGCACCCCCTGGTCCATGCCTGGGGTATGGCTGACAAAGGGGTCTCACAGGACTTCTAGAGCTTAAAAGAAGGGCTTGAGGGGCTTTTTGGATCCTCTCGGCTTCAGGGAAGAATTCTAGGGATTCTAGGGTTGGGTGTAGTAGCAGTGGAACTGTCTGTACCGCCTCTCTCAGAATCTTCTGTTCTGTCCCGGCCTTTTGTCTTGCTGCTCGTCTTCCACACACCCAATTTCCAGAGCAAATGGTGGAAAAGCAGGAAGAGAGGAAGAGAGGACAAACCAAGGTCTTCCGGACAGACCAAGGTCTTCCTTCCTTCCATCCGTCCTTCCTTCCTTCCTTTTGTAGGCGGGGCGCATTACCCAACCACGTGTTTCCAAAAGTTAGGGTGCCTGTCATCGGGTCGTTGTGATTCAAGGGGGTTGTATTGCATTGTTTGGAGTATATAAGGGGTACCCCGATTTCTTCTCTCCTTTGCCATTCTCTCCTCATTCACTTCTCTCTCCTCTTCTCATCTTGGATTTCCCCTCTTGACAAGTTACTTTTGGAGCTCATAGCAAAAGGTTTAGTATAAATATACGTATATATAGAGCATATTACGCATATTATAGTTTACAATATGTGCATATACATCTGTTTTTTCATATATGCACACTAAACTTTCTATATTTCATGTATGTATGCATATGTTTTACTGAACGGGCCCCCGGCTCAAAGCCCAGGAGAGATCGCCCTGGCCGCCAGCGACATCCAGGACTCCGGTGCCCTCACGAAGCGCCTCGTTCAGGCGGTGGCAAGACATGGGGGGGGTCTCTAAAGTAGGACCCTTCTTGTTCACAATTAAGGCTCCGTAGTATCAGAGGAACCTAAACAAGGATCCTGACTTAGGGAACCTCCCACAGAAGGTCTCGTTAGCGGAGGTTGCGGCGAACACCAGAGAGAGAGACCTGTTTGCGGCATTCTGACACACCAAAACACCTCCAGTCGCACCAAAAATCTTTTCGAAGCCACAAGATTTGACGCTAACTCCCTAACCCCTAGACACCCTAAAGCAAAGCTTAAGAAGTGCCAGAGAGTTGCCTCCCTGCCATAGGTCTCCAGCAACCAGGCTGCGAAGCACGCTGCACGCCGAGGCTTCCCCGCCTTGTCGTGGGGTCCTGCCACTCTGACTCTGCTTCGGGGTCACGAAAGATGGGGTGGTGGGTGAATTTGTTTTCCTCCTCCCTTGTTGTATTGAGTCAGGGAAGTATCTTTCCCCCATACCCCCATACCCAGTATGTCGTAGGGGGAATTTAGGGTTGGAGGGTTCAAGGTTTCGAGTTTGTAGGGCTTATCACCACGGCCATTTCTGACCAGCACTCCGTAATGAAGCACAAGGAAAGGGGGGGAGGACAGACTTGATTCCGAATTCGTCCCCGAGTCACTGAGGAGCCTGGCTCCGCCAGAGCATATATATATATATATATGGTCACACCCCCCCCCATGATCCATATGTATCCTTTTCTTGCTTGTCCTTCTGCACCTGTGCTTATTTGCACATATGGTTGATGTGAAAAAACACCGGTATTTACGATACTTTCGTGTCTTGCCATGTCTGAAGCTACAACTTGCTATTGATTATCTACACTTTTAAACAACAGAAATCTACAAACAGAATCCGTTTCTGGATTTGGTTTTGTGTGGTTTGCTAATCTCTGTTATTCACTCTATAGTAGCTTCCAATATACACCTTCGTGAACTTCAACAATATTCATTGATTAGATAAATATTACCTTATAAACCATTGTATAATGCATGAACATAAAAGAAGAGATGAAGGGGTTTCAAATAAAGCACCTAACACAAGAAGCAGACTACATAATGAAGTTAGAGACGAATTCGCAAAGACAGAGACATTCTTAACGGACACGCAAGGACTTAACGTAGCGTATGAGAATCCTGACGGGATATATCAAAAATGGTTCTATTTTATACATTATACATTGCTGGGACTAAAAGCTGTAGAGATGTTTATGGTGATTGAAACCTTCCTTTATATAAGACGCAACTGACTCAGTGTTATAAAGATGTAGATAAGTTCATTCAAGATGGTTTTATTGAAATAGACGGTTAAAGAAAAGAAGAAACTGGAATTTCTGGTATTGTAAGTCACAGTTTAGGTTCAGCATCGGGACAACAAATAAACAATGATTATGGGAATGTATTCAGAAGTCGTAGCTATGGTTCTCCTTATGTATCAGGACAACGACCAGAAGACACTGGGACAAAATATATGAATACGGAAAGTAGAAGACCGCGTTAGTATGTTTGAAAAAGGAAGTATAACATCAAAGAAGTCAACATTAGACCCTCTACAAAAACATCCTTATGAAGATATAGGCAATATTATAAACAAAGCAGGACATCTACCTATAACCGAAGAAGGGTTTTTAACAACAGTTTGATGCCATAATCATTTCATAAGAAAGCAACAACATACGAACAAATAGAGACATCGAAGATAGAGAAGCAATTTAAACAACATGCTTACGAAGAGATAAGAAAGTTAGTTGAGAATAATTAAGGAAACTCATCACACTTTTCCTCAAGCGACCGTTCTTTGAAAGAGTGTGAACGAAAGAATGTGAGCAACTCAGCCTGCCTAACTCCTCCCGTGAAGCCGTGGCGATTGAAAGAGTCGAAAGGGTCATGGCCAATGCCAGTGGCAAATGGAGAATACCAAGCTGAGAAGTTGCTTGATGTGCCTATCCAGTGGCCAAAGGAGGAGATTAGGCGGCGGAGTGGCCTGATGTGAAACGGATCGGGCTGGGTGCGGAGGGCCACTTTATGCCAAACTCTGTGATAGATCGGATCAAGTGTTCAGTTTCCTTACTCGCGTGTTCGCATCATCAAGGAAACTCATCACACTTTTCCTCAAGCGACCGTTCTTTGAAAGAGTGTGAACGAAAGAATGTGAGCAACTCAGCCTGCCTAACTCCTCCCGTGAAGCCGTGGCGATTGAAAGAGTCGAAAGGGTCATGGCCAATGCCAGTGGCAAATGGAGAATACCAAGCTGAGAAGTTGCTTGATGTGCCTATCCAGTGGCCAAAGGAGGAGATTAGGCGGCGGAGTGGCCTGATGTGAAACGGATCGGGCTGGGTGCGGAGGGCCACTTTATGCCAAACTCTGTGATAGATCGGATCAAGTGTTCAGTTTCCTTACTCGCGTGTTCGCATCATCAAGGAAACTCATCACACTTTTCCTCAAGCGACCGTTCTTTGAAAGAGTGTGAACGAAAGAATGTGAGCAACTCAGCCTGCCTAACTCCTCCCGTGAAGCCGTGGCGATTGAAAGAGTCGAAAGGGTCATGGCCAATGCCAGTGGCAAATGGAGAATACCAAGCTGAGAAGTTGCTTGATGCGCCTATCCACGCCCCCTATGCGTTGCGAAGCGAAATTGTGTAGGGTGCGCCGACCAGAATTCAGCCGCCAGACGTTGCATGTGGGGCGTCTCTGGAAACCGAACATCCGCAAGGACGGCCATGGCGTCATGAACGTACAGCCGACAAGTTTTCTCCGACATCCATCTGCCCAACAAGCACAACTTTGGCCAGGAGGCGTTTCGGCTGTAATGAAACGTAGCCCCTCCTCGGCGCAAGCTATACGGTTTAAACCGGAAAGCGTCCAAACGCAACTGCGACAACAAAGCCGCGAAGTGCCGGCGAAACGAGCTCGCCGAAACTGGCACAAGTGCATCACAAGCTTGACGATCATGCCGCCAGGCATGAAGCACCCCAAAGAGCTTAGGCAACGTGATGCTAACAGAATCCTGGCGAGCGAGCTGTCCTGATGTCTTGGTGAATCCCAAGTGCAGAATCACGGTAGATAAGTCTGCTGCAAACGTAACATGAGATTTGCAAAGCTTGAGCAACTCACCAGTGCGCAATACACCGTAAAAGCCAACAACAATTGCCCGCGCAAGCCAGCACAGTCCTTGTTGCCAGGCAAGGCCCGCCAAAGCATGCACTAGGGTAGGTGTCAAGGGTGGACATTGTTGTGGCAGTTCACGTGCAGTCCATGCTCGCATCAACCGCCAAGCTGCAGGCAAGCGTTTGCGCAAGAGCGGCCTCCAGTTTTGAAGTGCCGCCAGGGTGTCACTGGCGCGCGCCTTGGATTCGCCTGTTTCCCACAACTCTTCCAAGTACGCACACAACACACCATCAACTTGTTCTGCTGAAGAAGGAAGAAACGTGCGACAATCACGCATCCACCGCAAAAGTTGCGTCAAAGCAAGGTCGTAACGAATTTTGGTGGCTGGTTGAACTGTAAGATTTCGAAGGGGTCCCAAAGAACGACGTTGTCTAGCGCGCTCCTCCTTGGTGCTGGCCTCTTGTATGCGGCTTCTGGCTACCTTTTTGACCATTTACGCTTGCGTGGACGGCGGCTAGGGCCGTCTGCAGGATTAACATCGGAAGCCACATAGGCCAGCACTGGCGAGACTCCGGACGCCAAGAGGAGCGCTGAAACTTTAGACAACACATGCCGCATCTTTCGACTGCTGGATCGACCACGAGACACCACATGAATCGTGACCTGGCTATCACACAGATGCAGCCATCGAACAGCTGTGCGAGATTGATGATTTACAAGCCATTTCACGGTGGTCAAAAAAGCTCGGGCTTCCAGCTTATTTATGTGTTCACGGTGGGAACCCTCTCTCCAAAACCAGCCACAAACTTCACGCCAGAGCCACAAGTCAGGAGGCAAGGACCGTTTGAAACGATGCAAAGACTCCTGTGAGCCGATGGGGCACACAGGAGTACATCCGACCCCCTGGTAGAAAGGAAAGAACATATTCGCCTGATCAAGTGCAGTGAGCTTATTGGTTCGTCAGGGCGGGGCACGCAACTGGGAGTCAACAAGAAGCGCTGCAAACTTGAGCAGCTTTGTCGGTATAAGCGCGACTTGAGCTCTTGAAAGGAAGATACGTCACACAAGCTTTCAGGGGACAACAAAAACATGAGGAGAACGGCGACTACAGGCAAGCTCCCCATGGATCCGAGCATGGAGAGGCGAGTGTTTTCTAAATGCACAGGCTCAGACTTGCGCAATGTCTTGTTCAAGGCCTGCAGAGTGTAGTGATCCGGAAGCCCCATCATGCGTTCACGCTCCAACACGGACGGAAGGCGCAACGACCCTTGCGGCGTGATCACACAGTGCCTAGACTCATACTGGTGGGGCGGGAAACGACAGCCATCCTCAGCCCATCTTTGTCTGGCCGCCTGAGCGCCGCAGCTCCAGGCAAAAGTGTGCGCTAGATGGTCAGCTTGAGGGTTGGGCACAGTGAAGGTAGGGAAACTCACAAAATCGGGGCTCACAGTACAGCCACGCTCCAAACATGTCTCCGAGCGGAAATCGCCTTGAAACTCAACCGTTCCGCATGCCAAATCGGAAACGTGAACAGGCTGAAAAATGGCGAGACCGTCGTGAACCCGCAATGGCCAATCCACCCAAAACAGCCGCTTGCGGCGACACGGAGCAAGCGGGAAGGCATCAATTTCGAACGGAATGACACCCATCATCTGAGTCAGACGGGCGCGTGCATGCGTTTTCATGCTGGACAACCCCTCCAAGAAGCAATGAACAGACGCCCAGGGAAACGCTACGCGAACCAAGCTCACAATGTCGTGAAGCACGAGTCGGTCACGCAAACCCAGCTGAGATTGGAGGCATGAACTGGGCCCGGCCCCTGCGATTACCATTGAAACCGAAGGGAACTTGCATGCCCATTCGCGGACCAGGCTTGCATCAACTGAAGCAGCACTTTCATGGAAAATAGTGGCACCGTAGTGACTTTCCACAACTCGCCTGCAAGCCGAGTCAGGCTCAATCGAGATGTACCCTGCAGCATTTGTTCCTGAAAGGTCCAGCGCCACACGAAGAGTCCCGATTCCATCATTCACCCCTATGCCCAAAACTGCAGCTTGGGGTTTTGCAGTCACGCGCAACTCTGACAAGGTGGGTAACGTGGCTGCCTGCTTACCTCGCTCCGACAATCCAGTCGAAACGCAAATGCCTCCGCCAGTGTTGCTGGCATCGCTGCACGTAACCAACTCACAAAACGACAGGCGGAAATCGATTCTCGCAAGCGGCAGCAGCGACAAAAACGTATGGATCTC